CCTGACCTCATCATCCAGTGTTCCTTTGTGAATACCTGAGCTTGACGCTGTCATTCTGACACTTTTCACAGCATCATGGAGAAAACTGGTCAAACATTCTGTTTGTTGTCACTTTAAGAGAGATGATTATTTCTGCTGGCTCATGTAATCATGACGGCTAATAACAGTTTTATTTATCATATTGTATTAACAGTTTAATTGGACAGCATTTATACCAGTCACTATCTTACCTGTAGCAGAGTATATTATATACTATTATTTACTTGTCTAGATTTGCCTTTTTTATGTTGTTTTCTTCATCCACAAAACAAACATGCAGGTGAAGCTCAAAAAAATTGAATATTGTGAAAAATGTTTTTTTTTCCGTTATTTCACACATAATGAAATATTTCAAAGAATTATCTCTAGTATTATTGATGATTGTGGTTTATAAATAATGGAAAAACTAAATACAGCATCTCAGACAATTAGAATATTATAGGCAGCTTTTGGTACTTTGAGAAGGAGACAAGTACTAAACAACTAGACATACTGTAGGTCGTACTCAGACCTGATAATTTGCTCCGCTTTAAACGAACCAGAGTTCGTTTCCAGCGTTGGTCCAGACCTTTTGTGCAGCTGTGAATACACTCATGCGAACTCTGGTGCGGATCAAACAACCGGACCGAGACCTGCTTTTTGAGGTGGTCTCGGTCCACTTCCAAACGAACTCTGGTGCGGATCAAACAACCGGACCAAGACCTGCTTTTTGAGGTGGTCTCGGTCCGCTTCCAAACGAACTCTGGTGCGGATCAAACAACCGGACCAAGACCTGCTTTTTGAGGTGGTCTCGGTCCGCTTCCAAACGAACTCTGGTGCGGATCAAACAACCGGACCAAGACCTGCTTTTTGAGGTGGTCTCGGTCCGCTTCCAAACGAACTCTGGTGCGGATCAAACAACCGGACCAAGACCTGCTTTTTGAGGTGGTCTCGGTCCGCTTCCAAACGAACTCTGGTGCGGATCAAACAACCGGACCAAGAC